GATCATACTAAAGACATTTTATTTGTTTGTAAAAAATATATTAAATTGGGAGTAGGAACTCCTTCTGCTGACACAAAGTTACAAATTACCTTTTTTATGCCTTAATAATTTTTATTTAATTATTTGTCTATACAATAAATGATCATACAAAATTAAGATAGATATTATCTTACCTGCAAATAAACATTTAGTTTTCGAAAGGCTTGAGGATGTCTCAAAAAAATATACCATCTGCTTTATATTGTATAAAAATATGTTTTCAAGAAGACCAAAGACATTCTGATACACAATGTGGAATTTAAGCAACAATTATAAATCATATCTACAAAAAAACAGGAGAATGATAAAAACCATTATTATTATAGTAAAAGCTGGTACCATTGCACTTTCTTGGACTTCTACATACATTTAATAAGCTATTGCCCACAAGTTTACACTTTCGACTGTTGAATATAACATCTTATTAGTGGAGACAAAATTCGTATAGATTTGATTTATTTCATTTCAAAACACTTGTCTGCAAACATATCGTATCGTACTTCAGAACTTTGCTACATTTTACCTGAAGAAAGAACCCTTATTTAATTAGGAAATCCATACAACTAATGGTAATCTTGTAGTTTAATTTTAAGAAAAAATATTACAAATTAAACTATACCTATAAAGAAATATAAAAATAAACTTTATTTTTTTGAACCTGCCAAAATTCTTCATTTTAAATAAGCTTTTCTTCAAATACATATTTTTCAGTCCCTCCTAAATATGTTTTGTAATAGGTAGGTAATAATAGGTTCTTAATTTCATTTTAACAAATAGAACTGGCATACCTATTTTTCTTCTAATTTTTCCATCAAATTGAAAAACCTACTATTTACTTTCTTTTCTGTTATTATAATAGATATATAATTTTCTAATCACAGTTACTTATAAAACAATGAATTAAAACTGTATGTTAAACCCAAAATGTAAATTATTTTGTATTTTGTTGGGAGACATTTTACTCAATTTACTGAAATTTGAGCGCTGCTTGGGCGAATGGGCGATTCTCTTCCCAACATTCTGGTCCGAGCTGCGATATGAGACGAAGTAAGTAAAAAATAAAAGTACAACTAAAATACAATAATTATAAATCAAAAACGGAATGAGCACAATTTAGTGTCATCTTTATTCGTTGGTTATCTAAAACTTTGACTTCAATGAATTCATAACAAAGTTTTGAAATGTTTTTCTTGAAATGATACAAGACAAATTCAAATTTACCGCTAAAATGATATCTAGTTACTTTTTTAGTTATTTTTCCCTGTGTAAATAGGACTTTTCAATTCGCTCCTCTTAGTTTAAAAACAGAGTATAGTAAAGTTAATGTGAACGGATTTTCTTCGTTGATTTTTGAGCGCCACTGTTTAGACCAGAATTGTATGCTGTTCATTCCGTTTTAAAGATTTGCTGTTGTTTCTTCTATTGTTGATTTTATGGTTAAGACAGCTGTATTATCGCGAATGTGGCTAATTTTATATTCATTTATACAGGGTGTTAAAAAAAAGTGTCACAAAATAAAACGGGGGGTAGTATGGGCCAAAATATGCAGAAAAGTATTAATAAACATATGTCCGCAAATGAATGGTTTCAGAGATACGGAGTGTTTTGTGTTTTGTATCATTTTTTGATTATCTTTTTTCATTCTCAAAAACTTGCTTTTCTTATCGGAGTCTACCGATGTTTTTTCATAGATACTATTTGCAGTTATTATTTTGTTGTGGGTGAATAATTTTATAAATTTTCGTTATGCCTGTTTACACTAATATTGAATTAGCTGACATGCATTTTATGTACGGTCGTGCAAATGGCAATGCATTGAAATGGAGGGAGGGCACTTTGAACATCTCATTTAACTCTATGTTGTTATTGATTGTTTATAAATATCATTGTTTTTTTATAATAATAAAAAATTGCTTATTTGGGTCATACTATTCACCATTTCATTTTGTGACACTTTTTTTTTAACACCCTGTATACACTGGGTAATTAAGAAATGAAACTAGTAATTATTTAAAGTTTTTAAGCTGAAATTATAATAATATAACCCCATTTTTTAATTAAAAGTCTAACGCTTTCGGCTTATTATGCCATCATCAGGAGATCTTCGGTTACAAAATTTAAGTGGATCCACTAAAAACAATTATACATAATATTACATCACAACCATGAACCTTTCGGAATTTTTTGAAGTAGAAAAAAATAAATTGCCTATACTGCCGTCCTAAGCTGAAACATTTTTTGTTTTCTAACTTGATCGGATAGCTTGAAAAATTTCGCATCAGATGAACTGAGCAAAATAGTCAAATATCACTTAAAAAATAAAAAAACTACAGATCTCAACTTCTCTTGCGTGCTTACCAAGAACTTTAAAAATAATATTGAAAAAACAAGAAATATTTTAAAGTAATCCAGTGTTACCTAAATTCATTTTTCGTTTCGAGAGAACGCAAAAACAACTTTTAGAAAATGTGTTTATTCTCGAAACTCGCTTCAACTGAGACCGCTTTTTGGTTTAGGAGGGCAATATAATTCTCATATAACTATTTAATTATAAAAAATACCTCCAACCAATTTTATTTAAAATATCCAATGCAAAAAAATGTTTTCTTGGTGTAAGTATTGCTTCGACATTGTCATCATTAAACGAGGAGATTGTGTATAGCTGTGGATGGTCTGCAATTATGCGTGTTTACATGTTTAGTGTCTTTGTCGGCTACTGTACATACACCAGAGACCGAATTGCTGGGATGTGTACGTATGTACAATGTGTACATCTACTGTTCTCGGTAGTACCATTGCCATTCCTCTAATAGATACCTTCTTGATTGGACGAGAAATTGCGATTAGTTTTATTTCTGCCTCCATTCCGCGGTATCGCTCACATTAAATACCAAACAAACGGATTATATTTTTTTTTTATGTAAAATGTATTTTTTGTAATTAAGAAAAATAGTATCGATTGTCGCAGACAGATGAAAATTTCAAAAGTAAATGTAAGTCAGAGAATCAGATAAAATAACGATGAAAGTTGAAATGTTGACCAGTTTTAGAAAGTAAGGATTAATCAAAATCGTGGGGGACGTTATTTAAATATTAAGTTTAACCTTATCTACCAGGGGTCGATGCGATATGGCCACCGTATCCACTAGTAGGTTTATCATACTGTTTTGTCCACCCAACACATTCACTCATTTTCTCATAAAAATATTAACAATAATTTGAGATCTATTAGAACCCATCGAACCATCATCAGTATCGATATCTTTCCAATAATTTAAATATTAAGAATTTCCATTTCGTCTGTTGGCCGTTGTAGTTATATTATGGCTGTTTTGCGGCGAGATCGAGACCATCGGCCATCGCTGCAATTAAACATCGAGTAAAATTAATAGTGTATCGCCTTAATGAAGAATCCGAGTACGAAAAAAAGTTAAGTGCCCGTTGAAATTTATATTCTCGGGTTTCCTCTTCGAGTCCTCTTCGACTCGAAGAGCAACAACAACGGGCTATGATGGAAAGTTAATCAGCGATTCTGGATCAGCGGCGTTCTAGAAGGGAAAGAAAAACTATTTGCGTAGTACGTACGCTAATCATATTTACTTTCCTTATTCCAAACAGACTGTCATAGTAGACAAATGAATGTAATATACTAGCAAAATGTCAAACTGGCTTCCGCTTAGGTTGAAGCAAATTGAAGTTGTCAAGATAATGTCTTCGCCTTAAACAGTATTATTAATTTACATGTAAGACATAAAAAAGAAAATTATTCCCAATTTTTATTGATTTTAAAAGATCCTTCGGCTCGGTCGATCATATGGATTTGTGGAACAAATGATTTCATTTTGGATTGTAATAAAAATGCTTTACTCGCTGTATGGTGACGACCTTGTCACTCTGGCATATTCTGAGAATAATAATTGATGTTATTAAAAAGAAAAACATTTAAGAAAAATATACTATTGCTAATAAATTACAGAAATCAATCAATTTTCAGGAAACTTAACTTAGTTTTTTAATTCAATAACCAACATAACCAACAATCAATAAATATAGATAACTAGAAGTAGTCTTTACTTCATCGGGTCTCTTTAATAAAATGGCTTATTTTACCATCTACAAAGGTTTTCCCCTTCCGATAATGTCTAAAGCTAAAATTGATTAATTGTCATCCTAAGATACTTAGATATGTTGGAAAGAATTCAGCTATATTTCCTGCAAATAGTTCTTTTTGTTTCTACCAATATTCCTGATGCATTTAATATTTATAGTGTCCCTTAAGTGGACACAAAAAATTATCAACGCTATTCAAACTTTCTTTTTTTAAATTTTATATTTTCTTTTAACCTCAATTAACGACCTACGCCACTGACCTTCGGGCGAAATCATTCTCACACTCCAATGCCGATACTATTTTATTTTAGCACGCACGTTAATTCGTTTATAAATCTCGCAGAAGTGCTGATATTATTGAAATCATATACAGCGAGTCCGTTTGATTAAATGCCATCCATTTTATATCGCGAAAACCTTTTATGCTAATTCTCGGACTTTTCTCTTCCTCTATCTAAGAATTTCTACGCGATAAATTCATTGAATGATAATATATTTTTGTTAAAAACACAAAGCATTTTTTTACGTAGTCGTTCTGAAAATAAAGACATTCCAATCACAGTCCAAAGTACAGAATCATTTCTAAAAATCTATTCCACAAGAAACATAATTATTCGGTTTCCATATCACTCTTTTATCAGATCTTCCATAAAATCACATTTATAGTCACGTACACGAAATTACATTTCCCGCTTAAACATTTAAAAAATACAAGTTGTTTCACTTTAGAAAATTTAAAATTCATTCCATCGGCGAATCTTTCAGAATGCAGAACTCACGTGGCTCAGAAATAGTATGTTTTGTATTTATCTCTTAATTAATATGTACAACAGTATAAGAAAAAACCTTACCTTTGCTTTTATTGAGACTAATATTGCTGGGAAAGGCCGCCAGCTTTTTCCACGCCTTTTTACCCCAAAATCCTTTATTGGTAGAAGTATCCGCAGGCGTGGAACACCTTGGTGCGTACGACGCAGAACCCGCGGCACTTTTAGCCCTCTCGGGAGGGCCGCGTCTCAAACTACCCGCTGCACTTCTGTAACTGGCACCACTAGAACTACCACTGAACCCGCTGTCCAAGTCCACCAAGGGCGCCGGGCTGAGAAGTTCGTCCGTAGGACCGACTGTTAGTAGGTCGGCCAGTTGGTCGTCCATTTCGTTGTCGCGATCTGTATCGTCGCTACCCTCTTGGGAATTGGAGGGCATCAACATGGCTTCGACGGAGAGGTTGAGCTCGCCCAGGACTCTTCTGTGGCCGTGCTGGACCCTACGGACCTCTTCTTCGACTAGGCTTTGGTTTAGGGAGATTATAGAGTCCTGGTGGGCTTGACGTCTGCGTCTTGCCAGGTCGCTGATTTCTTCGTAGATATTTTCTTCGGTGCCATATCTGGTTTAAAAAAGATATATTTATAAAAGAGATTTTAAGCTCGAGGTGTGTGAAAAGGGCTAAAAATCTTATTTTTGCACCGAAGGGATTACATGCATTTTACTCCCTTCAGTTTTAGTCCCAAGGGAGTAAAAAGCCGTTAAAAATATACAAGGGAATGATGAGACTTTTGGCTAGCACTCTATATCGCAATATTTTATTATTAATAATCATTATCATGCTCTTGAAGACATTTTATTTTTCATTATTAGACCACAAACAATTTCTTTTTCTTTTTATTTTTTTTTCCTAGAAATATTTTTGATTTAAATAGTCCTATTAATCGAATAATCGTTTTTAAAGGAAATACAAAAATATATTTTCTTTCAATTTAATAAAAAATGTGGGCAAAATTATGCTAAAATTTAAGTTTTTATTTATTTTTATATTTTTAAGGAGCAATTTATGAATGAAAAATCCAATAACCTTTTTTTAAATCTGTTTTTATTCCGGGTTTATCTTAATTAGTGTAGCTATTATAAATATCAAACAAACTGCTTTTTTGATAATAACTGATTAATGGAAAGTAATCGATCTTTCAATTAATCTAAAACAATCGATTAAGCGAAAATAATCGGTTAATTGAATGATTAAATAATCGAAAAACAAATTCTATATTTTGATAATTTTTTTCTAAAATATATTTTGTACTCACCTCGTCAGGTAGGTATGATTGCTCCTATAAGACCCCTCTCGATACGCCCCTGGATACTTACTAGGCACGTTAGTATGCCTAGTGGGCGGACCGGGCTCGTAATAGGCGTACGAATAGTCCATACTAGGCCAAGGCGGATCGGGTTGACTAGACGTCCCAGGCTGTGCCAAAAAATGATCATCGGCCATGGTTGACGTTGAAGGGGAGTACTGCTCTTGCGCGTTGTTCGTCGGGGGGTAATTAGGTGGGGGCGGGAAGTGCAAATGGGGGTAAGAGTGGTAAGTAGATTGTGGATTGCAACGTTTCGGATTCAGAGAAGTTTTCCGCAGGGTGCCACTGGCACCGACGGTGGTGTTGCAATGGGGAAGATGGTCCTGGCAGTGATGGGCGTGATCGGGGGAACAGCTGGCGCCAAGACATTGCTGCTGGTACTGCTGTGGTCGTTGCCACATTTACCTGAAACAATTAAATTACATTAGCGTTTTCACCATTAGCCATTTGAGTTATAACATTGTTTATCCAAAAAAATACTTCTAACAAAGAAAAAATATTTTGATTTTTCCCTTGTACAGACCCAAATTGTGGATTAATACTTTAGTTATGATAGAACATCTGAAAATAAGTGTTTTTAAATAGTACGAAATCCTTTATTATATAAAATTTTGATATATAACTACGAAATGAATAATTTAGTTAAAACAGTCTCTATAGAATACCAATAAAAAGCATTTAATAACGTATATATTTATAAATGTAGCGCCCTGTATTGCATTAAAAGCTTTTAAAGAATCAAACGTAATGAATAATTGAACAGCGCTAGGCAGTCGAGCATGTAACAATGAGAATGTAGATATATTTTCCTTCATTTAAATTCGTCTCCGTCTTTATTGGGTGTTGAAATTATAAATCGATTCATTCCTAATCAGATTTCTGTGGTTACGGCCAGGCATTCTACAACAATCGAAGGAACTACATAATTACCGCTAATTTAGTTGAAATAAGTATTGTGCGCAATTTTCCTTGGATTTGATGGGAAATATAACACAAATTTAACCATTTACTTCAGCAAATTTAATAATCTACTAAGTAATATTGGAGTTCAGGAAATTATACAAATTTTGTTTTAAAATTATCTCTATAGAATACTCTAAAGCAGCCATTATCTAAATCACCACGTGTATAAATTTGTCACCGGTAGATCAACATATACATAAAATGGTTTTGTTTGTAATAAAAACACATCATTAAAACTCGTTTTTATCAGACTAATGAAAATAAATAGAAAGCAGTTATATAGGTACGCCATGTTTATGTGTTTATAGGGTTGAATTTTATTGTTTCAAGAAAGGTTTTCGGCCATATGAAGTGAGACAATTACTAATAGAAACATCTCACGATCATTTCCTGATAAATATTCAGACAATACGTAAAAAAGAACCGAAAAATCATAAATATAGACATAATTATTAATTCCTTTAAGTTTTCGTATACAAGTTTACCCTATAAAATGAAAAATACTTTGTATGATGTAATTGTTATTAAATAGGAAATAAAAAACGTGTGAAATTCATATCAAATAAAGTAGAGAAAAGACTCGTATTATATCCTTACATTTCGGAGTAAATACTTGTTAGATGGATAACAACCATTATTCGGATGATTTATGATGTCGTCTTGGCAGTTGGTAGGTGTTTGTCTAGTTCAAATAGCCAGAAATAAGAGAATAAGTGCTATATATCAAACTTCCGTTAGAAACGTAAAAGAACAGAAATATTTTTCGAAGGAGTGTATAATATCTCATCTGCCGAGGATTTTTTGACTCCATCTTTTCAGAAACTAATTCATCATTTGCTACAATGCCTTGTACACAGATCTTTCTTGCTACAATAATGATAAACTTAATATGTACGTAATTATTTCAATTCTACATATTCTGTCCTAGATGAAGCATACGGAAGTATTTATTACACGGAAAAAAAAATTGTAGAACAAATTTCTACAATTGTAGATTTTTCTCTACAATAAATAGTACATATAGGGACAGGGACAATTTGTAGTAAAAATTTCCAAATATTTGTGGAGAATGTATTGTAGAGTTATTATCTACAATATTTAGTAAAAAGATCCATATGCATCATAAGAATTGTTCTACAAATTGTTATAATTTTTGCTATTCATTGTATGAATTTATAATAAAAATGTATTGCGTTTTATGAAAATAAATACGAAAATTTTACACAATAAATAGTAAAAATTCATACAAATTGTAGTAATTTTTAATAAAATTTGTAGTAGTATTCCATAATTATTATAATTATAACCTAGAAAAAAATGTTCCTTAATAAAATATTCAATTTATTGTTTTAATATAAAAGATACAAATTCTTAATTACATTATGTAATAAATAACAGTAATAATAGCGCCCTCAGTCTCAGTTGGCTTTTCTGCACCTGAAAAATATGAAATAAAAATTAATACCAATTGAATTGTTCATACCCTTAAAACGGGGATATTTATCACCTTTACACTGATTTGGATATTAAATGACTAAGGGGTCTATTCTGTAAATATTCCTTTATATTTAACGGCCTTTAAAAATATTGGCGGCCTTTAAAAGTATATTTGTATTCGTTAATTTACTTCTGTCATTATTTAAACAGATTTCTTTAAGATAGTCCTCTAATGTATTTTAAAGATCCGTTTAAATAGTGACCGAATTAAAGAAGAAAATATTTTTAAAGGCCTTTAAATATAAAGGAATTGTTACAGAATAGACCCCTAAGTCAGATAACTAACAAAAATGAGAAAGTAGGTATGTCACAATTAAGACAAAAAACAACATTGAACTTGGCACAAAATTCGATCGTTGGGCACAACATTCGATAGTTGGCCACAACTATTTTTTTAAAATAATCTACTAAGGTTATTTAAATTAGTTATCTAAAGGTAAATTATTCAGAAACAATAATAAATGTACTTACCACCAATAGAGTTTATTATTAAAATTTTCTCAAACGCATCGGTGCTTGTAATATAATAATGTGTTATAGGTACTCGTATAAGTACCATGCTTTGTTATGTGAACATGGCGAACGGCTACTGCTGTCTGGCCGTTTATGATCAACGTCAGAAAACGTTGGCCAATAGCAGAATTCTGTTTTGTTCACATGACTTAGAATTTCTACAATATTATAGAATATTTTTGAAGAAGGGATGTAAAGTATTACTATTTTTTGTAGAGAAAATTACTATTTTTTGTAGAGATAATTATTAATATTTGTACAAATTTTTACAGAAGTTAGTAGTAGTAATTACGATAATTGTAATAAATTTCTACTTCTACAAAGAATAGTAAAATATACTAAACATTGTGGACTTCTTTCCTATTGTTGTAGCATTTTATTCGACAATTCAATTGCTACAATAATTAATAGTTTTTAACTATAAATTGTAGTAAAATTTTCTACAAATTGTTAAGTATTTTTCTACAAGTCTACTACTACAACATTGTAGTAAAATTTTCTAGTCACATTTTTTTCCGTGTACCTATTATTATACTACCCTGCTAAGGATAGAGGTCGTATCTATATAAGCTTACATTTTATTATGATAAAAAGTTAGAAAAACCTATTTGCATTAGAAAACGTTTCAAAAGGTTAGTCAAAACTACAAAACTTACTTTTAGAAGTCTAAAATGACATAATTATATATAATAACGACACCCTGTAGAAAGTGTAAGGCGAATTATTCATCGCCGACAGCTCATGAGTTAATATAATTACTGGGATATAAAAAGACTGATTTTGGGTAAAACGAAGAGTGTGATATTATTTTGTTCGGGCGATAAAATAAGTATTTTCTCTAATTTATTCACGTGTGTTTTATTTTATCTTTTAATAAATAAGACTCTAACAATTGTGTAGATAGGTAACGCCATGGGTAATATTTTTCTTCTTTAATGAAGAGAAAAATTAAAATTTTTACATCTATAATATACAAAAAGTTATGTGTATAATAATTTTATTACGATAAAATAACTGTCACTTCAAAAAATAAAGTAAAAAAAATCCACAAAATCTGAAATTTACGTTCCTAGAGATATCAAATTACATCGTTTTAACAAATAACCCGAAGACTTTAATTTGGAATTATCGAAATTCGATTAAATTTAAGTCGTCGTCCCACAAGTTCATTAAAATTCGAATAAAATTTAAATATAACGACAGCTGATACGGAATATTGATGGCTGTCCGTACAAGACACGTATACGCATAAAAATTGTTGCTAGATTCAATTTCATTGTAACTATGTGCTAGAGAAAATAATAATATTCTTCGTTTAGTTGTAATACAATTCTCATTTCTTGAAATAGACATGGAAAACTATTGTTTCGTTATTAAAACTTTGTTTAAATAGAACTCGTCGTTTTTTATGATCGCGTTGATTTTGATGATGGCGTCGATTTTAATAATAGAGTTCTCTAAATTTTCCTCACTAAATTATTTATGGTCGAAAAAAAAAAAAAATAAACCCACAATTAATTCATATATAAGCGGACCAGAAAATTGTCTTGTAGAGTTCTGATATCATTAACTAATTCTGTTTAAACTTCAAAGAAGTTCGTTTTCTTCATTAAAGCAATCATTTTTTTGTATGTAGAAGACATGTAGTTACTACTTCATTATAAATATTAATTGTGTTGAAATGAAATTCCTATTTTTAGTCGAAAGGCAGTAGAAATCAAGATTTTGGCCACACAAATAGTCACTGTGGCTTTATTTATAACGTGTGTGATACTAATGGGGAACGGCGTTCTCTTAAACAATCTACTTGTAATTAAATACGATATTTATGTGTTAGTTTAATAATTATGTTTTAAATTTAACAGCGTTATTTATTCGTATAATAAATAAAGATTAAAAAATTCGGAGGTATTTTAAATGTTTTTTTAACAAATTTAATATAAACAAATAAATTAAGACATTTAGTGTGATCTTCAGCTCTCAGGTATATCTTGACGAAATTTGTACATTCCAGGTCGAATAGGTAGGCGTTATATTTCTGGTCTATCAACATTATTGTTATTTTCATTTATTCTATAATGTTCTTTTCCATTAAAATTTTGACTATAATAAAGAAAACTTATGAGTTTTCAAACAGTGCTTTAAGTCGTATCCCTGAATTAATTCAAGATAAAACATTTTAAAAATTTGATATAAAAGCAAATTATTTTAGTTTGTACAACAAAAGTAATATGATGGTCATATCGCAGGAAGTGATCAATTTGAATACGACTCATTAAATAAAATCTATACAAAATTTAAAAAATGAATTAAAAGGTTATTAAAATAATATAACTGTTTTATATTCATGTGGGTGTAGAAAAAATTGTCTCTTTTTGTGGAGCGAAAGTTAATATAAGCAATATGAGAAGAGTAAAATATTTTACAA